TTCGTGGCCCCATAAGGAGCTCCACCGACGGCCAGCGGGGGTGCCCGCATGCATCTCCCCCACCGAGTACAGCGTCTCGTGGCCCCATAGGGAGCTCCACCCAAAGCCCCATTGCCGGGGCCCGCTATGCGTCCGCCCCACCCAGTACAGCGTCTCGTAGCCCCATAGGGAGTTCCACCTAAGGTCCCAATGGCGCAGACCGCATGCGGCCCCCCCCACCGGGTGCAGCGCTTCGTGGCCCGGCAAGGAGCTCCACCCAAGGCCCCAGTGGCACCGCCCGCATGCGGCTCCTCCACCCAGTACAGCGCTTCGTGGCCCCATAGGGAGCTGCACCGAAGGCCCCAGTGGGGGTGCCCGAATGCGTCCCCCCCAACCCAGTACAGCGCTTCGTGGCCCCATAAGGAGCTCCACCGACGGCCAGCGGGGGTGCCCGCATGCATCTCCCCCACCGAGTACAGCGTCTCGTGGCCCCATAGGGAGCTCCACCCAAATACCATGTCGGGGTGCCCGCAGCGCGCCCCCCCCCCCACCGAGTACAGCGCTTCGTGGCCCATAGGGACCACGCGACAAGGCCCCAGTGGCACCGCCCGCATGCGGCTCCTCCACCCAGTACAGCGCTTCGTGGCCCCATAGGGAGCTGCACCGAAGGCCCCAGTGGGGGTGCCCGAATGCGTTCCCCCCCACCCAGTACAGCGCTTCGTGGCCCCATAAGGAGCTCCACCGACGGCCAGCGGGGGTGCCCGCGTGCATCTCCCCCACCGAGTACAGCGTCTCGTGGCCCCATAGGGAGCTCCACCCAAAGCCCCAGTGGGGGTGCCCGCATGCGTCGCCCCCACCCAGAACAGCGCTTCGTGGCCCCATAGGGAGTTCCACCCAAGGCCCAAGTGGGGGTGCCCGCATGCGTCGCCCCCACCCAGAACAGCGCTTCGTGGCCCCATAGGGAGTTCCGCCTAAGGTCCCAGTGGCGCAGACCGCATGCGTCCCCCCCCACCGAGTACAGCGCTTCGTGGCCCCATAGGGAGCTCCACCCAAGGCCCCAGTGGCACCGCCCGCATGCGGCTCCTCCACCCAGTACAGCGTTTCGTGGCCCCACAGGGAGCTCCACCGAAGGTCTCAATGGCACCGCCCGCATGCGCCACCCCCACCGAGTACAGCGCTTCGTGGCCCCATAGGGAGCTCCACCGAAGGTCCCAGTGGCGCAGCCCGCATGCGTCTCCCCCACCCAGTACAACGCTTCGTGGCCACATAGGGAACTCCACCGAAGGTTCCAGTGGCACAGTCCGCATGCGTCTCCCCCTGCCAGTACAGCGTTGCGTGACCCTACAAGGGGACTCCACCGAAGACGATACCCACAACTGCGATGTTCACAACTGCAATGGTTGGGTCCTTCGCCTGGCTAAGGGTGTGAGATATACGCTGCACGTATTGTAGCAAGCGTGGCAGAGTTAGCAGTGCATGATAGCGGCAGGCAGAAAGAAGGACCACGGTTGCTTCACCACCTCTTTTCCATGGACACCTCGGCCCAGACCTGCTTCGGGGCCCCTGAGTCGCTCGTGCAGCGAGTGCGCGAAGACCGAGGCTATACTCTCTGCGCTGCCCCTCCGCATCGTCACCAGCGACTTCGCCTGCCTTGACAAGCTCACAGGCGGGGGGCCTTCCGGGGCCGTCTGCGAGCTCTCTTGCTCTCACGCTGCGGCGGGGGCGCTCCCGGGGGGCCTCTCGGGCCCCTCGCGGGGCCCCCGCCGGGGAGAGAGCCGTCGGCGCCCCCGGGAGCGGAGCCGCGGCGGCGCCGCGGAGGGCGAGGCCAACGCGCCCCTCTGGCACGCGCGGCGCCCGGCACTGCCAGCGAGGCCGAGGCCGTCTTCCTCCTCCTCCTCCTCCTCCTCCTCCTCCTCCTCCTCCTCCTCCTCCTCCTTCCTCCTCATCCTCCTCCTTCCTCCTCCTCCTCCTCCTCCTCCCCCTGTTGACCCCGGTCTCAAGGCGCCCGATCCCCCCCCCCCCCAAACGGGCGCCCGGCACTACAGGCGAGACCTGTGGCTGACCTAGTCAGAGCGGGCTTGGCTGTGACGGCGGGGCTGGTGCGGACAGGCCAGTGCACAGACACACACACACACACACACACACAAACAAACAAACACACACACACACACACACACACACACACGCTCACCTCTCGCACGCACGGGGCCCGGAAGTGCAAAAGAGATGACGTCGGGCTCCAGTTTCGCCTCCCACATCTCGCTGAGCAGCGCCAAGGCCTGCTGCCACTGCCCACCCTTCGCGCACGCGCTGATCCCAGCGCAGTAGCTGATGGCGTCGGGCTGCAGCTTCGCCTCACACACCTCGCCCAGAAGCGGCAAAGCCAGTTGCCACTGCCCGACTGTCTCGCACGCGCTGATTCCAGCGCTGTAGCTGAAGATATTGGGCTCCACGGTCGCCTCACGCATCTCGCTGAGCAGCCCAAGAGCCAGCTGCCACTGCTCTCCCTTCCCGCACGCGCTGATCCCCGCACTGTAGCTGATGACTAGGGCTGACCCGCCATGGTGTGGACTTCGCACTGGGGCCACTCAGGCGCCCAATGCACGGGAGGATCACCGATAGGACGCTGGAGTAACTGTCCATTTGGTTTACTTGGGCTGTTCCTTAGGAGCCTTCTCGGGGTGTCTGGACACTCTGGGGGCCTTCTTCGGGGTATGTTAGGGACATCTCTGTGGCTCCTATCGCATTCGGGCCATTTGGGGCGCCCTCCTCGTCTGGATCCTTTTTTCCCGCCGATCTTCGTTAGGAGCCGTCTCGATGTGTCTGGACCCTCTTGGGGCCTCCTTCGGGGCATGCTCGGGACATCTCGGTGGCTTATATCGGATGTTGGAAGTCATTTTAGGCGTCCCCCTCCTCCTCCCCTCGATCTTTCATCCCGTCGATCTTCGATCATCAGTCGTCGACGCTCCCCAAGAGACAAGCATCCAAGGCCTCGTGGGGCCTTTTTCGTCCACCTGGGGGGCTCTCGGGGCCCTCTTGGGCCGTCTTGGGTGCCTCTTGGGCTGTCTTGGGGGGAAGTGGAGCCGTCTGGGGTGCCTCTCGGGCCATCTTGGGGCCGTATTGGAGCCATCTTGGGACGTTATTGAGCGATCTTGGGGCTCTCTTGGGTGCCTATTGGGCCTGCTCGGACGCCTCTGGACCCATCCTGGGGCCGTCTCGGGTCGTTTGGGGGCACTTCTGGGGGACTTGGGGTCTTAGGGCGATCTCGGGGGCCTGTACAGCCGTCTTGGAGACTGTGCAATCGGAAAAAACGAACATCTAAAAATATACGTTTTCCGAACGGGGTGTGACGATTTTTGCATCTTGGGGCTCTCCTGGGGGTCCTCCTGGGTCGTCTCGGGATCCTCCTGGCCTGCCTTGGAGGCCTCTGGGGCCATCCTGGGGCTCGCTTGGGGTCCTCTTGTGGCGTCCAGGCGCCCTCTTGAGCGTCTCTGAGCCGTCCTGGGGCCGTCTTGGGGCATCTTGGAACCCTCCGGAGCCGTCTCGGAGCGCCAGGGGGACTCGCAGGGCGCCCTGGAGGGCTCGGGGGGCCTTTCGGGACAGAGGACCTTTTTGCTTTTTGCACGCAAACATCGCTGCATTGTAAAGGAGATGGCGTCGGACTCCAGCTTCGCCTCCCGCATCTCACAGAGCAGCGATAAAGCCTGCTGCCACTGGTCGCCCTTCTCGCACGCGCTGATCCCGGCGTTGTAGCTGACTGGGGCTGACCCGAGGCCTCCGTCCACAACATTTTTCTGAAATGGTTCTCGGAGGAACAGCGCAGATTTTGTCGAAAATCTACAAGTACGGCGGCGGCCGGGGCGGCGGCAGCGAGACCGCGCCTTCGTGTCCGAGCTCTTGCAGCGCTCCAGCAGCTTGGCCCCGACGCACGGCTCGTTCGCCCCCCTCCTATTGAGGGCAGTTTTGGAGTATCTCGGGGACGTGCGTCAAAGTCGAAGCCCATCTGAGGCGTCTCGGGAGCGCCCGGGGAAGCTCGGGCGGCCCTCGGGGAAAGCCACCGGAAGCGCCGGGGAGGCTCGCAAGGATCTCCAGGGAGGGCCCAGGAGAGCTTCAAGAGGGTGTGAAATCTAATCCCATCAGCCCTCTGGGCGACAGGTGGTCTAACGAGGGTCTCTTTCCTCTTCCACGACCACTCTTCCCTTCGGGGAGGGGAACCCTCCCCCTCCCCTCCCTAGGTTTTTTGGGGAGGGGGCCCGATGTGTCAGGGAGCCTGTTTTCGACCCCTGGGAGGGCCAATTTTTTTAACCCCGCTCGCGAGGATCGTGGCCCTCGAGGGGGGGAGCTACATTTGGGACCTCCCACTTTTGACCGGCCGCCTCCGAGATGGCCTCCAGAGGCCCCTCCAGGGCTCCCAAGAGGCCCTCAGGAGGGCTCCACGAGCGCCCCAAGAGGCCCCAAGAGGCCTCCAAGAGGCACCCGAGAGGCACCCAAGAGGCCCCGAGAGGCCCCAGAGCGCCCAAGATGACCTCCAAGGTGGCTCAAGATAGCCCGAGCTGGCTCGAGATGGCGCCCAAGATGCTCCAAGAGGCCGCAAGACCGCTCCAACACGGCTCGGGATGGCCACGGAGCCTCCCGAGGAGGCCGCCTCGCTGTTTGACTTTGCATGTCTCTTCCTCTCTCCCCCCGTCAGCTCTCATGGGCATCGTTTCTGGATAAGCTGGTGGGGATACTTTTTGGTCAGCGGCCTCGTGAAGCGGGTCAAAAGGTGTCCAAACTCTAGCCGGGCCACGACTAGGCAGCATGGGGCCGTTTGGGGGCACTCAGCGGGGCCTCCTGGACCGTCTTGGAATGATCTGGGATGGCCCTGGATCGGCGGTGGACAAACCTCCCTTTAGTGAACCTCCCTTTCGTGAAAGCGGCCTGGGACCGAAACCGACGGACCTGGACCCGCAAAAATAGCGGTCGCGGCGCCCTCTCGCGAACCGAAAACGGCCAACTTGCTGATCGACGCGTCAGGGCAGGAGGTCTGTCCACCCTCGACTGGAGCCGTCTGGGGCCGCCCTTGGCCCGAAGTCGCGAGAGCATGGAAAACCTGCAAACACAAAGAGAACACCTATGATTTGAGCCTCGTGTGCCAGCAATTTTCGGGCCCTCTGGGGCCGTTTGGGGGCACTCAGCGGGGCCTCCTGGACCGTCTTGGAACGATCTGGGATGGCCCTGGAGCTGCCTGGGGCCGCCTGTGGCCCGAAATTGCGAGAGCATGGAAAACCTTCAAAAACAAAGAGAACACCTATGATTCGAGCTTCGGTGTGCTGGCGTGTGTACTCTGGACGTCTACACCTCCTCAAGCATCTTTGATGGGACTGGTTCCCACCACCACCACCATAAGCTGGAGGGGGGAAGGAGGAGGACGAGGAGGAAGAGGACGAGGAGGAAGAGGACGAGGAGGAAGAGGACGAGGAGGACGAGGACGAGGAGGAAGAGGAGGAGGAGGAGGAGGAGGAAGACCCCCTCCCCCTCCAACTTATGGTGGTGGTGGTGGTGGTGGTGGTGGTGGTGGTGGTGGTGGTGGTGGTGGTGGTGGTGGTGGTGGTGGTGGTGGTGGTGGTGGTGGTGGGAAACAGGCCCATCAATCTTGCCAGGAGCAGGTGTGGACCTCAGCTAACAGGTGGCAGCTTCAGAAAGCCGCCACTGGCGGGACGGCTGCGAGCAGAAGCCCGTGACCGTGCCCTCCTCGTCCATGCCCGGTCTATGGGCCGAAACTGGCTCAAAAAGGGCGACCGCCTACCGAGCTGGCACCAGTTGGTGCATGTTTTGTTTCATCCGTTAGACTTGCGCCTTCCATGCCTCGGGAAAGACAGGGTCCGGTTCAGCTGTTTTCCGAGGCACCTGGCCCGTCGTCGGGGCGTCTTGGGCTGTCATGCGGCTCCGTTCGGGTCCTTTCCTTGGGCCGTCCTCGCGCGCCCCAGGGCATCTCCGAGCTGTCTCTCGGGGCTGTCGGATGCCGTCTTGGGGCCACCGAGGGGCTCCATGGACCCGTCGGAAAGCGCCGTGGCGCTTCGGGCGCTCGGGGGCAGCCTTTTCACTACAACACATTTTCGCACGCGCAACACCCAGAATGGCAGCACAGATGACGTCGGGCTCCAGCTTCCCATCCCACATCTCGAATAGCAGCGCCGAAGCCCACTGCCACTGCCCGCCCTTCTCGCACGCGCTGATCCCAGCATTGTAGCTGACCAGGGCTGACCCTTGGACTCCGTCCACGACATCTTTCTGGAATGGTTCTCGGAGGAACGGCGGAGATTTTGTCGAAAACCTACAAGCGCGGCGGCGGCCGGGGCGGCGGCAGCGACACCGCGCCTTCGTGTCCGAGCTGTAGCAGCACTCCAGCAGTTTGGTCGTCGTCGTGGGTTAATGGGCACCGGAAGGAGGCTGGCGACGTCGGTAGGACTGGCCCGTGGACTCCGTCCACGAAATCTACACGATTTGGCATCTGATTGTGGGGCCCGACCTCACATTCCGCGCATGTTACTGCGTGTTGCTGCTTGTTGCCGCTTTTGTACTCTTGGTAGTGCTTGAGGCCGCTGTTGCGTGTTCTTGCTGCTTGTGGCTTGTGGCTGCAGGTTGTTGCTGATGGCCAGTTCCGCTTGCGCTTAGTGCGTGCTTCTACCCGCTGCCTGCCGCTGCTTGCTGCTGCTGTGTGCCGCCGCCACTGCTGCTGTGTGCTTCGTGCCCACGGGGGAGATCGAGGCTGCCCCAAGGCACTCGAAATGTCGCACGGTGGACTGTGCATGGGGGCTCACTGTGGACGCGCAAGGAGGCACGTCCTTTTGGGTGCCGCCTCCGCGCCCCTCTGGGATCAGACTGTGTTGGGGACTGCGCTCCCTGGGGGTCTCTGGTGTATCTCGCCTCACTTGGGCGACAGCGGCGAAGGGCGCCCTGGAGCTGGGAGGCAATAGCAAAGGGAAGTAGCGCCCATGCTGAACTGCATTATTCGGCGTTCTTTTGCTCGCGCCCGCACCCACGGAGGAGGGCAACGCTCCCTATGCGGCCACTGATGGCGGGCGCTTCCTTCTCCTTGAAAAGTGTTTGGGGGCCTCTCGGGGTTTCTTTTCGGCCTCCTGGGGGCCTTGTGGGACCCCCTTGGACCGTCTGGCGGCCTCCTTTGGGCCTCTTGGGGCCCTCTGGGGCCGTCTTGGGTGCCCCTTGTGCCGTCCTGGGGCCGTCTGCGGCCGCCTTGGACGCCTTTTGGGGCCGGCTTGAGGCCGTCTTGGGGCCGTCTTGGGCCGTCTTGGGCCGCTCTTGGGGCTGCCTTGGGCGACTCTTGGGCCGTCGCGGGCACCTCAGGAGCGGTCCCAGGGCCGTCGTCTTGGGCCGTCCTGGGGGCCGTCCGGGGCCGTCGCGGAGCGCCCCGGGGCCACCCGAGAGCGCGCCGGGCCCCGCCGGAGGGCTCTACACTGCCATTCGATCCGCAGGGTTGACTCGCGGCCTGCCGGCCGCGGAATCTGCCCGCCATGGCGCGGAGGTGGAAGTGGAGCGTCTCCAGGGCCTCGCGGGGGGAAGTTGGAGGGGGCGGCATGGATGAAGGAGGGCGCCGCTGGAAGGGGAGGTGGGCGAGGGGCGCAGGCAAGCAGGCCTGAAGGCAGGAACGCCGTGGTGGAGGCGGTGTCAATTGAAGCACACCCACGAAAGCACGTCGTGGCGTGGACAGAAGCTGTTTCTCCCGCCGCGTTCTGTGTTCATCGTAGCTTCTGCGGGGCGGGTCGGCGCGATGATTTGATCTGCTCCGAATGGTAAAGTTATCTGGTAGTGCGGTGAGAATGGCGCTGGTGGGTACGGGCATGTTCCTGTTCGTTCGCCTGGAGTTTAGACGGCCTCAGAGGCCCGCAAGAGGGCGCCGAGACGGTCCAAGTCTCCATGACGGGCCAAGAGGGCCCCACGAACTCCCTAAGACAGGCCCCAGTGCGAGGACACGAATCGACCTTTCGAGCTCATCGCCCCAAAACGCCCCCCAAAAGCCGAGAGACGGCTCCCGGATAGTCCAAGAGACCCCCAAGACGACGCTGAAGTTGGACGCCTCCCAGAGACAACACTCCTGAGCCGTCTCGGGGCCATTGCCAGAGCCTATTGAGCCTTGAGGCATTCACGGGGGGCCCAGGAACAATTTTGGGCCGCTCTCAGCTCGAAATCGCGAGAACCTGAAAATCAGGCAAACACCACAAAAATAATCAATGATTTCTGGCCGCCGCAAGCCGTCTGGACGGCCTCTTGGGCCGTCTTGGGGCCATGTTGAGATATTGGGCGGTCTCGGCGCTCTCAGTTCGCCCTCTTGGGCGGCTCTTGGGGCCTGTTTCGGGGCTCCTGGGGGGCTCTCTCGCACCGTCTTGGGGCTCGCTTGGGCCGTCGTGGGCTCCTCCGAGAGTCGTCTTGGAGCCCTCCTGGGCCGTCTAGGGGGCCCTTGCAGGAGCTCTGAGCCGTCTTGGGCCGCTCTTGGCTCGAAATCGCGCGAACTTCAAAATCCGATGGCCTCTGGGGCGTCTTGGGGCCATGTTGGGGCTCTGGGCCCGATCTCGGCGCTCCCCGAAGGCGTCCCGAAGCGTGCCCGAGCCGCCCGGAGGCACGCGGGGCCGCGCCAGGGGCGCCAGGGGCCCGCCGAGGCCGCGCCGGGGGCCCGAGGACGATGTTGGACACTTGAACCATTTCCCTCGCCCCACGCGTCTCCCCCAGCCATGCAGGCGAGGGCGGGTGGGAAGGATGCCGACGAGCTGCAAGCATGGCGCGGGTGTCAATGTCCCCCAGGGCCTCGCGGCAGGGGGAGGGGAAAGGGCAGCAGGGGGAAGGCCTGCGCAGAGCCTCCTCGCCTCTGCTCCGCCCTGCCCTCGTGGAGAGAGCTCGGGGGACTCGTCGTGCCTCCTTGGGCCTCACAAGGGCCCCCGTGGGCCCCGTGCCACTCGGGCCGTCTTGCGGCCGCGCGGGGCTCTCCGGGGCGCCTCTGGAGCCGCTGGGGAGCCGTCTTGGGCCGTCCTGGGCCGCTCTCGGAGCCCGCCCGGGGGGGTCCTCTTGGGCCGTCATGGGCGCCCCTTGGGCCGTCCGGGGGCCGTCTTGTGCAGCCTTGGAGCTCTCGGGGGGGGCCTCTGAGGTTCGTCTTGGAGGAACTGGGGGGGCTTCTATGGCCTGCTGGAAAGGTATGAAAACGAAAAAATCGAATATGCAAAAAAAAACGTACGTTGTCCGAGAGGATCGAAACGATATTGGCTGGCCTATCAGGGCTGCCCTGGGGGCCTTTTTGGACCTCTCTTGGGGCGTCTCAGGGGGCCTCTTGAGCCATCGGCCTCCTGGGGCCTCGGAGTCAGAAAAAAAAGCCTGATCCACAGTACCTTCTGGCGCGCGCGGGTTCCTGCACTGTCGAAGATAGCAGAGGTAACGTTGGGCTCTTGCTTCGTATCCCGAATCTCGCTAAGCAGCGTCAAAGCCCGCTGCCACTGATCGCCCTTCACGCACGCGCTGATCCCAGCGCTGTAGCTGATGATGTCGGGCTCTAGCTTCACCTCCCGCATCTCACTAAGCAGCGTCAAAGCCCGCTGCCACTGCCCGCCCTTCGCGCACGCGCTGATCCCGGCGTTGTAGCTGACCAGGGCTGACCCGTGGACTACGTCCACTCGTGGGGGGATTAGGTGGTGCCGCCAGGCCCATTCGATAAGAATGGGCCCGATGCTCGCTTTCCACATCTCGCCCATAGGCAGGAACGCCCGGCGGTCACGGGCGTCATGTCCATCGGGGGCCCCCAAACGGAGTGGTGACCACACCGTGCGGTGAGTCGGTGGGGATTCGGGGTCACCGCACGGCTTTGGGACTCGGGTCGTTCTCCGAGGACGTCTCGGGCGACTGGGGCCTCCGAGGTCCCCAGACCGTGCGCTGACGGACCGTGCGGTGAGGTCTTGGGAGATTTTTCGAGGTCACCGCACGGTCTGTCACCGTACCGTTTCGGGACGCCAAGGTTTAAGTCGGGCGTGTCTCCCTACAGGGGGATGTTCGACGGAAAAATGATCCTGGCAGAGGACCCAGCCATATGCAAACGTGAATACCGCAGGGCAGGTGGGACAAAGCAAGATGAATTCTCTATGGGGCCGCGATCCTCGTGAGGGGTGTGCCGAAATGGCCCGAGGCCGCCATGCGAACGCTGTCACTGGCGCCTTCGGTGGAGCTCCCTTATGAGGCCACGATCCTCGTGAGGGGTGTGCCGAAATGGCCCGAGGCCGCCATGCGAACGCTGCCACTGGGGCCTTCGGTGGAGGTCCCTATGGGGCCACGATCCTCGTGAGGGGTGTGCCGAAATGGGGCGGGGCCGCCATGCGAACGCTGCCACTGGGGCCTTCGGTGGAGCTCCCTATGGGGCCACGTCCCTCGAGGCCGCCATGCGAACGGCCACCTCGGTGTGAGGTGTGCCGAAATATGGGGCCCCGATCCTTGTGAGGGGTGTGCCGAAATGGGGCGGGGCCGCCATGCGAACGCTGCCACTGGCGCCTTCGGTGGAGCTCCCTATGGGGCCACGATCCTCGTGAGGGGTGTGCCGAAATGGGGCCGAGGCCGCCATGCGAACGCTGCCACTGGGCCTTCGGTGGAGCTCCCTATGGGGCCACGATCCTCGTGAGGGGTGTGCCGAAATGGCCCGAGGCCGCCATGCGAACCCTGCCACTGGGGCCTTCGGTGGATGGGGCCACGATCCCTATGGGGCCACGATCCTCGTGAGGGGTGTGCCGAAATGGCCCGAGGCCGCCATGCGAACGCTGCCACTGGGGCCTTCGGTGGAGCTCCCTATGGGGCCACGATCCTCGTGAGGGGTGCGCCAAAATGAGGCGGGGATGCGAACGCTGCCACTGGGGCCTTCCGAATTGTGAGGGGTGCGCCGGGGCAGGGCCGCCATGCGAACGCTGCCACTGGGGCCTTCGGTGGAGCTCCCTATGGGGCCACGATCCTCGTGACGGGTGCGCCAAAAGGGGCGGGGCCGCCATGCGAACGCTGCCACTGGGGCCTTCGGTGGAGCTCCCTATGGGGCCACGATCCTCGTGAGGGGTGCGCCGAAATGGGGGGGGCCGCCATGCGAACGCTGCCACTGGGGCCTTCGGTGGAGCTCCCTATGGGGCCACGATCCTCGTGAGGGGTGCGCCGAAATGGGGCGGGGCCGCCATGCGAACGCTGCCACTGGGGCCTTCGGTGGAGCTCCCTATGGGGCCACGATCCTCGTGAGGGGTGTGCCGAAATGGCCCGGGGCCGCCATGCGAACCCTGCCACTGGGCCTTCGGTGGAGCTCCCTATGGGGCCACGATCCTCGTGAGGGGTGTGCCGAAATGGCCCGAGGCCGCCATGCGAACCCTGCCACTGGGGCCTTCGGTGGAGCTCCCTATGGGGCCACGATCCTCGTGAGGGGTGTGCCGAAATGGGCGGGGCCGCCATGCGAACCCTGCCACTGGGGCCTTCAGTGGAGCTCCCTATGGGGCCACGAAACGCTGTACTGGGTGGGTGAAACGCAAGGGGGGAGGGGGAGGGGGGGGGGAGGGAGAGAGGGAGGAGGAGGAGGAGGAGGAGGAGGAGGAGGAGGAGGAGGAGGAGGAGGAGGAGGAGAAACGCGGGGCGACGTCTCTTCAAAACGAGGACCCAACACCACAGGATGGTTGGGAAAAAAGAAAATACTCAAAAGATGCTCCAAAATGATCAGAAAATGCTCAACAAATAGTCCCCAGACTATTTTGGACTGCTTTTGAACATTCCTCCTGCAGAGGGACAGGCCCGACCTGAGACCTGACGCGGAAAGGCGGGGCCCAGGGCTCTGGTCGTGATCTTGTGCGATGTTGCCTCTGTGCCGCTCGTGATCCTGTGCGTCGTGGCAGCCCCGCGTCGGCGCCCGCCGCCGCCCAGGGAGGAGATTCAGGGAGGCTTGACGGGAGGAGGAGGAGAGGAGGAGGAGGAGGAGGAGGAGGAGGAGGAGGAGGAGGACGAGCTCCCGCGCGCGGGGGCGGCCCGCGGAGGCGCGCGCCCGCGGGCCCCGGGGCGCGGAGGCCGCGGCGCCCGCCCGCGGGCCCCGGGGCGCGGGCGCGATCTGGCGCGGTCCGCCGCGGGGGCGCGAAGGCCGCAGCGCCCGAGCTCGGGGCCGCGGGCAGCATTTATAGATCTCGGCTAGAAGGGCGCTCGAGAGTTGTCAACAAGGGCCTGTGTCGCCCTGCGGATGGCGTAGAAATGTCGGGCTCAGCCCTCTTTATATATATATATATATATACACACACATATATGCATACATATATATATACCTGCTTATGTGTATATATATATATATACATACATATACCTATATATATATATATATATACATGTGTATGGCAGGGGATCTCTGGAGGTCTTGGGGTTCCCAGGGGCCACAGACGGACGGCGCGGACAGCATGCCAGCCGCGCTCCCGCGGCAAGCGTCCAGGACGGACAGTTGCCAGCAGCGGATGGGAAAGATACCTCCAGAATGCTCGGGGCCGCGGACAGCATGGAGCACGCCACCCTTGCGCTGAAGTATCGCCCTTCTCTCTCCGAGCGCATGCGGCCCCGACGGCGGCAGGCGGGAGCGTCTCGGCCCGGAGCCCAGTTTCTGCGCGCACGCAGTGCACGTTCTTCTTGTGCCTCGCTCTGCAGTCCTCTGGAGACAGTCTTGGGTCGTCGCGGGGGTCCGTGTTGGGGGTCTTTGGCCGTCTATGCTCCCTGGCGGGGTCCTCCTGGGGCTCTCTTGGGGCGAATTAGGGGCCTCCTGGGGGCCTCCTCGGAGCCCTCAGAGGCCTGTTGGGGGTCACGGGCCCCTCTTGGTCGCTCTGGAGGCCTCGTTGGCACTCCTGAGAGCCTCCTGGCCGTCTGGGACAGCTGGGGGGCGCCTGTGGCCGTCTTGAGTGGTCGAGAATCCGAAAAAGCGATCAAGCTGAGATCCTTCCAAAAACCTAAGGAAAATCGTTAATGGAGCCTTTCGGGGCTCTCTGGGCACATTTTGGAGCTTTCTTGGGCCGCCTCGGGGGCCTTTGGGGCCGTCATGGGGCCATGTTGGGGGTCTTGGGCCGTCTTGGAGCGCCCTATGGTGCCTTGTGGGCAGCTCCTAGGGCCCTCGTGGGACTGTCTTGGGGGCCACCAAGGGTTCCATGAGGCTGTCTTGGGCTTCTCTGGGGCAGTCTTCGGGCCCTCTGGGGCCGTCTTGGGGCACTTGGCGGGCCTCCTGGACTGTCTTGGGGCGACGTGGGATGGCCCTGGAGCCGTCTGGGGCCGTTCTTGGCCCGAAATGTGAAAACCCAAGGGAGATGTTGGCTTCGGGGGACTGTCAGCGGGGCCCAGTTCGGCCGATTTCTGAGGCACCGGGCCCGTCGTCGGGCCGTCTCGGGCTGTCATGGGGCTCCGTCCGGGACCTATTGGGCCGTCCTCGCTCGCTCTGGATCGAAGACCGCCGGGGCGCTTCGGGCGCTCGGGGGCAGCTCGCGATCCTTTCGTCCCTATCGCACGCGCAACGACCAGAATTGTAGTACAGGTGGCATCGGGCTCCAGCTTCGCCTCCCGCATCTCGCTGAGCAGCTCCAAAGCCCGTTGCCACTGATCGCCCTTCCCGCAGGCGCTTATCCCAGCATTATAGATGAAGCCGTCGGGTTGCAGCTTCGCCTCCCACATCTCGCTGAGTAGCGCCAAGGCCTGTTGCCACTGCCCGCCCTTCTCACACGCGCTGGTCCCAGCGCTGTAGCTGACTAGAGCTGACCCGCGGCCTTCTGGCCGCGGAATCTGCCCGCCATGGCGTGGGCGTGGAAGTGGAGCGTCTCGGGGGCCTCGCGGGGGGGGAGGTTGGAGGGGACGGCATGGATGGAGGATGTGGCCGCTGGAGGGCGAGGTAGGCAAGGGATGCAGGCAGGCAGGCCTGAAGGCAGGAACGCGATGGTGGAGGCGGTATCAATGGACACACACCCATGCACGACATGATGTAGCTGTTTCTCACGCCGCGCTCTGTGTTCGTAATAGTTTTTGCGGGGCGGGTCGCCGTGATAATTGTATCTGCTCTTCGCCAGGGCCGAATGATAATTTTATATGGTAGCGCGGTGAGAATGGGACTGGTGGGCGCGGCCTAAGAGGCCCGCAAAAAGGCGCCGAGACGGCCCAAGAAGTCTCCGGGACGGGCCAAGAGGCTTCCAAGACGGCCCAAGAGGGCCCCACGAACTCCCTAAGACGGGCCTCAATGCGAGGACACGAAGCGACCGTTCGAGCGCACCGCCCCCAAACGTCCCCCAAAAGCCTAGAGATGGCTCCCAGAGGGTCCCAAAAAGTCCCCAAGACGACGCTGGAAGTTCGACGCTCCTCAACAGGAAGCATTCAAGGCCTCTTGGGGGCCGTTTGGGGGCCGTTTTTCGTCCTCCTGGGGGTCTCTCGGGGCCCTCTTGAGCCATCTGGAGTGCCTCTTGGGCCGTCTTGGGGCCCTGTCGGGCCGTCTTGGGCGCCTCTGGGGCCATCTTGGGGCCGTCTTGGGGCCATCTTGGGCCGTTATTGGGCGCTCTTCAGGTTGTCTTGGGTGTCTCTTAAGCCGTCTCGGGCGCCTCTGGAGCCATCCCGGGGCACTCGGGCAGTTTGGGGGCCCTCCTCGGGGCGTCTTGGGGCGCTCTTGGGGCTTTGTGTGGGCGTATGGGGGCCCAGGGCTCGGAATGCCAGGGTTTTTCCCTGTTCTTTGGCCCCCTCTTGGGCCTGGCTTGGGCCTCTTGGGCCATCTTGGGGCTCACTGGGCCGTCTGGGGACGCGCTTGGAGGCCTGTTGGGCCGTCCTGGGGCGGTCTTGTGGGTCTCTGCGGCCGTCTTGGAGCGTCGGCTAGCCGAGAAGGCGAGAAGGCAAAACTCCTTCAAACACCATTGAAAAATTAAGAGTTTTGGCCTCTGGGGGCATGCTTCGGAGGACTGTGGGAGGCTCTTGGAGGCCTCTTGGGCCTTGTTGGGGGCCTCTTGGGCGCTCCTTGGAGCCTCTTATGGCCACTTCGGCGCGTCTTTGGGCGGAGGGCTCGATCTGCGACGCTCGGGGGCCAGGATCTCCGTGAGGGGTGCCGAAAAAATGGGATACCTTTGGCCGTCCTGGGAGCCTCTTGGTGTCGCCCTGAAGCCGTTTTGGGCGCCTCTTGGGCTCTCTTGACGCACTCTCGGGCCGGTTTTCGTGCGTCTTGGGGGCATCTTGGGCCGTCTTGGGGCGGCCGTGGGGACCTGGAACCCGCTTCTGCGCCATATTCCCGACAAGCAGCGCATGCTAGAAGTGAGCGTTTTTCTTCGGGAAAACAATGGTTTTCGCCTCTTGGGGCCATCCTTGGACGCCTCTTGGGCGTCTCTGGGGCCGTCGTGGAAGCCTCCTGGGCCGTCTTGGGTTTGTTTACGGCGCTCTTGGGCCGTCTTGGGGGTGTGTGGGGCCGTCCCGGGCGCCTCCTGGGAGCCTCTTGGGGCCGCCTGGGGGCCGTGTTGGGCGCCTCTTGGGTCTCTTGACGCTCTCTCGGGCCGGTTTTCGTGCCTCTGGGGGGCCTCTTGGGCCGTCTTGGGGCGGTCGTGGGGACCTCTTGTCCCATCTTCTGCGCCATATTCCCGACAAGCAGTGTGTGCTAAAATTGGACGTTTTTCGTTGGAAAAACAAATGATTTGGGCCTGTGGGGGCCATCCTGGGACGCCTCTTGGGCGTCTCTGGGGCCGTCGTGGAGGCCTCCTGGGCCTTGTCGGGGCCGTTTTCGGCGGTCTTGAGCTCTCTTGGAGCGCTCTTGGGCCGTTTTGGGGGTGTCTGGGGCCGTCCTGGGCGCCTCTTGGGCCGCGTGAGCGCCTCTGGGGCGTCCCCAGAGCCGTTGTGGGGTATTTTCGCTCGATCAAGACAGGGACCCTTCCCGCACGCACGGGTCCCTGCATTGTAGAGAAGACTAGGGCTGACCCGTGGCCTAACGGCCACGAAATCTGTCCGAGATGGCACGTGGGACCAGGGCAGAGATATCGCCGAAAGACTTTCGTGATGACGTTGGGCCCGGATTTCGCCTCTGCTGTTGCTGCCTGCAGCTGCAGGGTGCTGCTGCCTGCGGAATGTTGTTGCTTCTGCGAACTTTGGCTGTGTGCTGCCGCTGCTTGCTGCGGACTGCTGCTGTTCGCTGTTGCTACCTGAAGCTGAGCGAGGAGCGAGGAGTCAGGGTCGAGGGAGGGAGGAAGCGAGGAGCGATCAGCTAGGATCAAGGAGCAAGTAGCAAGGAGCGAGAAGGGAAGCAACGGTCGAAACGAGGAGAGAGAGAGAGAGAGAGACGAGGAGGGATGAGGGAAAGCCGAAGGATGGGGGTGGCAGTCGCCAGTAGTCAAGAGGGAGAAGGGAGAGGCAGTAAGAAGAGAGGAGCCAGGAGCGAGGAGAGAGAGGCGAGGAGCGACGAGAGAGCGGCGAGGAGCGAGGAGCGTGGAGCCAGGAGGGAGAAGGGAGACATGAGAAGAGGCCAGCACGCGAATGTCTCAATGGCCTCTGCGCGTGTGCGGCCGAACATCTGGCCTCCCCTTGGGTCGCCGATGGGGCTCACTTGGGTGGCCGGCACGGTCCCAGAGCTCTCTAAGGGATCTTCCCTCGGAAGCCTCTGTGAGGTGGATTCGCGGGGTGTATTGAGCCCCTCGGGGCCCTCTTCAGCATGTTTCGGGCCTCGTGCGGGCCTCCTGGAGCTTCTGGGGGGCTTCTTGGGGGTCTGCTGGCAATCTCGCGGGCCGTCTTGGTGCGGAGAGTGCAGAATGCTAGCTCCAGTTCCCCCTCTTGGGGCCCTCGTGGGTCCCTTTCGGGGCCGTCATGGGCCGTCTTGGGTCCCTCTTGGGCTGCCTTGACGCCTTCTTGGGCTGCTTGGGAGGCCCTCTTGGGGGCCTGTTGGGCCGCCGTGGGGCGATATTGGGAGCCTCTTGCCAGGAAAGGCAAGAACGCCGAAATCCTTCCAGAACGAATAGGATGTCAGTGACTTGGGCTTCTCTGGGCCCTCTTGGGGGGGCCTCGTGGGACTTTCCCGGGCGGTCTTGGGGGCCCTGCTGGGCCCTTGGCGTCCTGGGCGCCTCCTCGGTCGTCCTTGGGGCCCTGCTGGGCCGTGCACTGGCGCGGCCCGGAGGCCCGCGGTGCTGTCGGAAGTGCCCCGGGGACGCTTCTCGGCCTCCTGGGGCCTCTCGGAGCGAAAGACAAGCAACTGATCCAGAGCACATTCTCGCACGCAGAGGTTCCCGCATCGTGGAGGAGGTGGCATCTGGTTCCAGCGTCGCCTCCCACATCGCGCTCAGCAGCACCAGAGCCCACTGCCACTGCTCGCCCTTCCCGCACGAGCTGACCACGGCGCTGTAGCTGATAACGTTCGGTTCCAGACTCGTCATCCACATCTCGTTTAGCAGCAACAGAGCCTGCTCCCACCGCTTGGCCTTCTCGCACGCGCTGATCCCAGCGCTGTAGCTGATGATGTCGGGCTGCACCTTCGCCTCCCGCATGCCTCTGAGCAGGGCCAAAGCCT